GAGGATGAAGAAATATTTTAGCTTTAAATTTATATTTTGTATTATACTATATATAATTATATTTCTTCTCCATGAAGAGTTAAGGAAATTAATTTACGCGTACCTGTGCACACAATTAGTAATAAAGATATAATACCGTAGAAGCATTCAAAAGCCTTAAAATATGAAAATTAACGACGAAAAAATACCAATTTTATTAACGAACAGATATAATTGACACTGAATGAAATACACCAATTCAAGGAATGATCTCTTCTCCCATTCATTTCAGATCGTATTAACTAAATAAAAACGTCCATACACAGAGACTAAATGGAACACGCTGCATCGATATGCAGTGCTTCAATATTTAAAATTCATCGTTAATGCAACTGTCAGATTTATAGAAAGAATTCACAATTTAACGCATGCGTATCGCTCGATTTTTACGTCAATTTTTCATATTCAATTGACTTTCCTCCTCGCTCGTTAAAAAATCATTGTACCTTTCGAAGAACACAAAAATTACAAAAAAGAAAAAAAGGTATATGTACCTTTTTAAAGATACAAAAGAAGCAGGATATTCCATCAAACGTTAAACGACAAATGGTAAAAAGAAACTGAACATAATTAACGAGAGGTGACTTCGAATCTCTCCGTTCTCACGTAGCTCGCGACCGCATCGCGCGGCTCGATTTTCACGCGTTTTCACTTCCGCAGCTGACACTTAGCCGCTTTTTCCCAAATGCATACGTACTCCCGCTTATTCCGTATAAGCACGCACACATTTTCTCCGTTGCGTTTAAATGGATTCTCTAACGCAATTAGAGCTAAGACCGCACACCGAGGAAACTTTAAACTAAAGTGTACGAAACGGTTGTTTCGTCGCGTTTATTTCTGATAGTGTTATCAATTCGTGCATTTGTTAAAGTGCAATTCTGAATTTCTAATTTCCTATTTATTATCTTCGCTAAATTCCCTCCAATTCTAAATTTCCTATTTACTGTCTTCATTAAATTCCCTTCTTTTCCAAATTTTCTATTTACTATCTCCACTAAATTCCCTCCATTTCTAATTTACTATTTACCATCTCCACTAAATTCCCTCCATTTCTAAATTTCCTATTTTCTATTTTCACTAAATTTCCTATTTACTGTCTTCACCAAATTCCCTCCAATTCTAATTTACTATTTACCATCTCCACTAAATTCCCTCCATTTCTAAATTTCCTATTTACTATCTTCACCAAATTCCCTCCAATTCTAATTTCCTATTTACTGTCTTCACTAAATTTCCTATTTACTATCTTCACCAAATTCCCTCCTTTTCTAATGTCCCTTTAAATCTTCAATCTTCATCCGCACCCACATTTCCCCTCAAAAATCCTCTAATTACACCGGAAATAAAACGGAATTCCTTCTATCTTTGAACTAACTCATTCTCAACAAAACAACTATACCAAATAAAGAGAAGCAAGAAATGAAAAACCTAAACGTGGAGCAAAATTGAATCTCTAATTCATCTCTTATCACCCCCATAAATGCCCTCTATTCCCCTGATTCTTGGCGCAAGGCAAGGCTGTAAAACAGAACAGCCGATCCGGATCGAATTAATTAAGAAATACGCGCGTTTCAGGTCTCGTACGCCTCGGCGTATACTGTGAAATGGAGCGGAAGCGATGCGTGGAACAAAAGAGATTGAAATAATCGAAGCTCCGCGGCCAACAAGCTCGATGCATCCAATATGCACGCCCCGGCCTGTTTACATTTGTTTGTTCTCGGCTAGAGCTGCACGACACGTTGCTTCAATCTTGTTCCATGGCTAGCAGCCCTACTGTTCCCGACTTGTTTCGTGCGACGCCGCGCTTCCCTATTGTGTGTCCACGTTTAAAAATCGATCGAGAGAATCTAAAGGCCGAAACAAGATTCAGCCGCGAACAAAGCTCCCTCGTTCGAGCTAGGACGTCCAAATTCGTAGTAGACACTGTTCAAACCTACGAATTTACCGCCCGAACAACCTTTTTCTACACATTGTTCTCCGTACACCTCTGTTACTCGAAATTTTCAGGTACTAAGAGGATTATTTCCGGGGAGAAAATGGAACCGTTTCAAAAGATTCGCCGAATTAACGTATTTTAGACAATTATCGCGTTAATTACTTTCTTTTTCCCGGGAGTTTTATGTTACCTGAGATTTGAAAGGTAGACGTTCGATCGTGGCTGGAAAATATTTTTCTTCGACCGTGTAACTTTGGAAATTTGTGAAATTGTTTTCGAAGGTTTTGAAATTGGGGGATCTTTAATTTGCAGAAATTTCAAAGGAGAAATTTCAATAGAATTAAAGATCGAATTAAGGTGAAATTTTATATTTTTTGTTTATTTTCTAATTTCGATGAAAGGATTAAAACCATAGATCGCTCGCAAATTGATCGCTTTCGTATTAATTTTTCAAATTCACGCGATTCTTGGTAACTTATTATCGTAAAATCTAAGGAAAACATTCTTTCCAATTTAAAAAATGATTTTCCCCCGAAAAATCCCATATTTCACATTACACGACTTAATAATAAAGAAGAAATTCCAAATAATTCTTGAGAAAATGAAAATTTCTGAATTCACGTAAATAAGATACCCTCTAAAATTAGCATATTATTCCATCATCGTACGCATTAATAATAGATTAAGTTTCGTAGTCTGTAACGTACACGTTTAAAATGCCGATACTTTATTAGGTCGTAAAAATGACTTTTGTTACATTTTATTGAGATACCGGTATATTTCAACCATAGTTGCCTCTCGTCCACTGTATCGCCGTAACTACTCGCTCAACTATGCCCCCCCTTAAACCTGTAAACACGACACTTGTCCATTAAATCGTCACAAAGGCGAGTAGGTAGTTGGAAAACTTGAAGAATGCGCGGTTTAACTGATCCTTCAACATTGTTAATCGCGGTGTATCTGATGTGTAACCTGGAAAGTGAAACTCTGTATTATGTCGAGGCCTTTAAATTACCGATAAGCTCTTCCATTCAAGCATCGAGAATTTAAAGACTGTAGGTTCGGTGTTATCCTCGCGGTATAGAAGAGAAAAGTACGTATTTGGATAATTACAAGACGTGATTGACGAGGTAGGTTTTATATTATTACGAGATGCGATAGGAAAACGTTAATTAGGTGATGTAAAGGAGTATAAATTGAGAATAATGGGAGAATATTTTGACGTGGATTAAATGAAATTATTCGGAAGATTTATGGAATTTGAAAAGGTTACTTTTATAACGACCAGAAGGAACAAAGTAAGTAACTACCGAGTCTTTCGTGATAAGAGCTGTTGCGTTAATTAATGTTGGCGGGACTGCAGGCGCAGAGGAAGAAAACGAGAGGTGTGATAAATAATAAAGATTTTTATAGAATGCGAAGAAATGAGATCTGGATAGAAATTTGTTTTGAATTTAGAGGGTTTTAAAAATGTATCTTTTTATTTTGCATATGTGACATTAGACTTTGGTAATTAATTTAATAACACACTTTAATCTGTATTTTTAATTGAAATTTATATTTCACGAGTAAACGTAATAAATAATTTCCCGTTTAAAAAAATTTCAGTAGCTAGTGCTATGACCACATATTTTTGTGTACAGATTTAAAAAAACTTTCGTTCGAAATTTATTTGGGCGATTTGTCGTGAAGTAACAAAGTAGTCTGACATTTGGATAATGAAATGTGTATCTTGAGAATTTCTTTAATCTCTGGTTGAAGATAGAAAAGAAACAATTTAATAAAATATGCAATAAAATAAGAAAAAAGTTATTTAACAATAGTTGAGGAAATCATAAATATGTAATATTCACAAAATTAATTTCTAATCTTATCTAGCAAACAAATGTGACATTTAGATAGTAAAATATGCATCTTGAGAATTTCTTTAATCTCTGGTTGAAGATAGAAAAGAAACAATTTAAAAAAATATAATATAAAATAAGAAAAACATTATTTAAAAGTGATCGAGGAAATTGTAAATACATAATATTCACGAAACTAATTAAAAATACAAAGCTGTCCTCGCTGGTTGTTAGTCGTTAACATATGTACTCGAAGGGTCGTCGAGAGCAATTAACCCTTGGCTATTTAGCATTCGTACGATTTATGGCAGGGACACTTAGCCTGCGTGTGGCCACCAAGAGTATTCACGAGAACCTGCAACCCAGACGTTCGACGATAAGTACTTAACTAGGATGTCATAGGATTGGTTGTTTGGAAGAAACGGTGAAAAAGTTTAGAAGTGGCAAGTAACCCGATTTTGCCTTGGTTTAAGAATGGGAACATTGTTCCTTGAGGATCTGGCCACAGAGTGGGGATGGCGAGGGTGCTTTCTGGTAAGAGGACTGAGAAATAGCTCGTCACTTACCCTAGAACCTTGGAACAGGGTGAACGATGTAGTAGTTTCACCAATTGACAATTTCTTATATATTTCATAGATACACGTATGTGCTTCATTTAGAAAAGTAACCTGTGTTGTGAAGATCTACGCGTGACCACTTTGATATCGTCGAATTCGTGGATTTAACTCACAGATAGAAGTTTCTATTCCGTCGAACAAGTGTACCATTTAGGCGAGGGATTTTACGTACTAAAAGACACCACTTGGAAGGTAAAATATTTTAGTACAAGATCGAGGTTCGCTGGTTGTACAGACTAACCAAAATACTAACTGGTTTCCCGTACGTAAGTGATGGTCTAAGGTGGAGGGGTTGATGACTAATATCAAGGGTGCAACGGTCTGAGCTAGTTTGTTCGGGTGAGCAATGCACGAGAAAGTTGTAGAAAATGAGGGGTGAGTCAGATTTTGGGTTAGGGTGGCCATCGCAGTGTAAAATCTGTCAGAGAAAATTATTGTACGAACAGTAAAATTGTTATAGATTTTGTATTGCAGTAGGACAAAGTTGTATTTATAAATGATTCAATTGTTGCCGCAATTTATTGTATTGTTGAACTAAATTATTTAATTTGCTTGTTTTACAGGATGCAAACCGACCTAAGTGGAGGACCTGGACTCGCTGTAGTAGCGGGAGATGTGCTTGCTCTGCGAGGGACAGGGCTCGCTGCTGCCGAAACATGGGCTCTCCTATGCCAGGCTGCCCAGGCCCTCCAGGACCTCTTTCTCTCAAGTAAGTTCTTATTTGAATCTGAAGAAATACACTTCGGCCGAATCTGAAAGGTTTAACACGCGCATAATGAAAGTATCAAATTCTGTTAATTATTATACTGTGAATTTTCCATGAAAGAATTCACCTTTGTTATTTTTGAAAAATAATTTGTTATTAAACTACTAGGAATGAAAATCTGAATTTTAGCAAGTCAGATTATTGTATTTCTTTAGCTCGTACTAGATTTTATTAATTCGCGTACAATTTGTAAAATTGTACACGTGTAATATTAAAGTAAAAAGAAAATGTTTAAAATTTACTTAACAACGAACAAAAATTATTTGCACGAAAAGGACAAAATTTTTGATATACGTATGAATCATGTAATACACATAATCTGTACAAAAACTAACAATATTTTGATATATGTATAAATAGGTTATTTTTTAACGTTATTTGGGTTAGGGAAGGTATGAGTAACAGTATCATAATTCTATTTAGAAAAAAAATAATTTTCCGGTACCGGGAATCGAACCCGAGCCTCCTGGGTGAAAGCCAGGTATCCTATCCACTAGACCATACCGGATTATGGTGAAACATGAATAACTTACCCATAAGAAGGAATATTTCAATGTTACCTATTTAAATTATAAAAATTAAATTGTTTTTTACAACAATGTATCTGTATAACCATAATACATAGTTGTGTTAAAGAAAAAAAACGATAAAAAGTAATCTTCCGGTACCGGGAATCGAACCCGAGCCTCCTGGGTGAAAGCCAGGTATCCTAGCCACTAGACCATACCGGATTGTGGTGGGAGAAATATAAGTTTGCAGTAAGACTCGTTGTACAATGTTAGGTTAAATCCTATTGTTTTGTATTGTTTAAATTCTACTACTAACGACTAGAAAATGAAGTCTGAATTAAAATTAATTTCTTTCACGATAATGTTACATTCGTGATAATGAAATTATTCGTTGTAAAGTGTAATTGTTAAAAAATTATATTGCTTTTTAGTACTTTCTCTGGAAATACAACACAGAGCTAATTTTACATCTGTCCGAAGTTTTAATTAAAAGCAAAATCTAATTTTAATTTAAACGAAAGGATAATTTTGCATATGAAAAAAATGTCCAGCATTTTCCAGCACTTGAAATTAGCATTTTACTCGACCTTGCACATACCAGGAGTTTATCGTTTCACTGATCGTACAGCAGTTTCGTTATTCGCATCGAAATTAACAACGTTCTCAATTAGGGTGTCAGATATGTTCTCTGTGGAACACGTAGAGTACAAAGTGATCGTCTCCAAGTACCGTCGAAAATTACAATGCAATTTCGAACGGTGAATCAGTTGCATTTGCATGTATCTCGAGCGGTGAACCAGCCACTTCCGGTGTTTCCGTGTTTCGCGTTCTGGTAACACCCAAGCCTATCGTTACGCCGGATAAGTATCTATCACCAGCGCTATGTCTTCGCGAGATACATTTATGCAAATCGGGAATAATTAAATGTTTACGTTACACGCAACGATGGTTCGATTAAATCTTTCGTACGAAGCATTTTTCAGTGTTTTCAGTTTTCAATCTTACACAATTTGTTTCTAAACGAAATTTAATAATTTTTAAGACTGAAAGTTTTTACTGAATCCTGTACTATTGGTAGAATTGACGAGAGAGATGGAATATTAATTTGCTCGAAGGTATCGTTTAGCTGAGAATTGCACAAAGTTCCCAGAGTAGATGGTTGCCAATTTATACAAAGCGCAGATTGATCGATGCATCTTCTAACAAAGCATTCGAGAAGCTGTTTAACTGTATAATTGGTACATTAAATTCCAAGCATATCCTGAAGTCTTCTCTTCCATGGGTGTGACTAGTTAACCCCAAGCAACGTGACCTAGAAAGTCCCTAATTAAACTAAAATACAGCAAACAAGATAGGATCGCTTTTCACCTACAGGATCTACAAAAGGGTATAGGTCGACATTATCGAAACAGTCGATCCCCTTACTTCGTTTCGATCGTTATACTTCACTGCAATTAATTTCAACCTTAGTTCATTTACCTTTAATTAACGTTTCTAGCGTCTAGCTAATTTTCTAGCCTGCTGTTGTATCATGAAAAGTAGATCACAGTACGGAAACTACTTCTACTCTATTGTAGTTAATTAACTCTTTGAAAATGTGGCGTACTTTCATCTTGATTTAATCCTTAATTTTACTCTTTGTACACTTTCGTTTTAATCTAATGAAACAGTTTTAAAACGATGCAACCGAAACAGTGAAATTTTTAAGGCGGGGAACCACTTGTTGCATCGTTGCGTATCGTATCGCCGTTGCGTATCAATTTTGACGAGCAAGCGTCGCACCGTTGCGTATCAAAAGTAATCACATTTTGACACGCGTATCAAAACGTAATCACAATTTGATACACAACGGTGATACGATACGCAACGGTGCAACGCTTGCCCGTCAATATTGATACGCAACGGTGATACGATACGCAACGATGGGATGAGACCTTATGAGATGAAAACAGTGGTCAAAATGACACTGAAAAATGTCACTTTTCACAATAGCACACATCTCACAAAGTTTATTTCCAAATATTCACATTTCGCCAATCCAAAAACCGTCAAATTACCATTTTTAACCTCTTCAACACCCAACGATCCTCAGCCTCGTTTAATTCGTCCTCGAAGATAGATCCAGCAGACACGGGAACTCCAGTTATGCGCGTACAGGGAACAGTTTGAATAGCCTATACCGAAACGTACAGAGACAACGCGATATGATACGAAATGGAAAGCAGAACGTAATATTATAGAGGCTGGAAACGTGGTTCGGATCGATGCCACTAAATCTTGGGACAAAGGCTATTCAGAGCGTTGTTAAATCGCGCGATCACGCCGATTACGGTTTGCACGGTTGGATCAGGAAGTCAAACGTCGTGCAGCCGACGTTAAATATTCAATAATCACAGGGCGTGGAGAAACGTGACCGTCAAGGTACCGTTGAATCTGCAACCGTTGTACCCCCGCCCCGATGCATTCTCTTCGAAGAAGTGTCCACTTTCGAATTCTGCTTTCTTACCTCCGGGTAGCAGACACGGTGTACTCTGTTCTACGCTAATTGTAAGATCAAGGATGAATTGTGCCTCGGTAGCCCCGTTGCCGCGTGATAACGAGCCAGACTCGTGCCGCAGATTTTGGTCAAGATTTGATAGAAACAGTTATATCGGTACATAAATGTTAATTTAAACTGCAATTTTCGATTTTGTTTGTGAAACTGAAGATTGGCAAGTTTAATTGGTATAGGAGATTTTCTTAGTTGATGTAGTAGTAAAACGGTAAATAGCTTGGATGTATAGTCAGGGAAAGAAATCATAGGTCAAGTTCGGTCAAATTTTAAATTTATTTTGAAAAATTGAGTGAAATTGAAGGAATGAAATGAGGAAACTGAAGGAATGGAATAAGGAAACTAGAGGAATTGAGGGAAACTGAATGAAATAAGCTCAATGAAAAATATGTTAGTGTTTGTTTAACTCTTGTGTAGGCAACCAAAATGTTCTCAGTTTTTTCAAGCTTTAATATTTGAATTTGTACGAAACCTATATCGAGGTAGAAATGTCCAAAAAGTGGGATTTTACGATACTTTCACAGGAACCTAAAGAATTGTTGAAGGAAAGTATAGAAATGGGTATCCAGGTACCTAGTTGCCTACGCAAGGGTTAAACGATGATGGAAAAAATTAAGCAGCTTTGTTATTTTAATAGAATATTTTTCACGAGTAAA